TACGATTATTTTTTTTATCATTTATGTAACTGCGCTCAGTTTGTAATAGCTAAATTAGAGTTTTATTTCCGCACTTTACTTTTAGTCTATTATTTATGTATCTACACCAAAGCCCTGTAATAGCCTAGGAACTTTTATTTCTCGCTTTATGTTTTCTTGTATGCTTGTATATAATTGTTAGTAACTTAGGCGTGCATGACAAGATTAAATCAAATAATCATTAGATCACTACTCTCAAGACAAATATCTGGAAAAAAAGCACTATTGCACACTTGCACCCTTAGGGTACTCCTCACTTGGTTTCCTTCGAAAATGGTCATGTCCCTCGAACGTAGGGATACCTTAGCAAAGACCCTCGGTATGAAAGTCATCATAAAAGATCATAGTCCCTTACTGTCTCTTGAGTTTCCTACGAGAAATGATCTTGTCCCTCGATGTTGCCTATATGATGACAGTCCCTTCGAACGCTAAGATATCCTTACATGTTGTCTTCAATGACCATAGTGTCCCTTTCGATAGTCCCTCAACATTCGACGATAGGGCTACCTACTCACTAATAGTAGGATATCACTATCTAAAGGAAAGGAGGAAAAGAACATCCTTTTTTGAGTAGGTAGACAATTCTTAAGTACTTGCTCAAATATGAATTTTTCACACTTACACACTTTCAAAAAATCTTTTCAAAAACGCTTTATCACACTCTTGAAGACTGATACAAGAGTTACCATGAAGCAAACAAAATCTTTCTAAACACACAAACACAAACAGTTTTCAAAAATGAGCAAGTACCTAAGAGCCCGTGGAGAACCACGAATGGAAAGGATGCTAATACCTCCCCTTTCCATAATCTACCCCCTTACTCAGAAAATCTCCAAAAAGGTCTTTTCTGTTCTTTTCACCCTTTCCTTTGTTAGATAAAAGAAAATTCGGTGGCAACTCTTGCTTACCACGACATTTGCGAACAAAAAACGCAAACTAGTATTAACAGTCTGTTCTGCCACTGTATCACACCTTCGAAGTACACCTTATTCTGATATGCCAATCGAAGGACACTTTGTTGACATGCCTTTGAGGTACACCTTATTCTGATATGTCAATCGAAGGACACTTTGTTGGCATGCCTTCGAAGTACACCTTATTTTGATATGCCAATCGAAGGACACTTTGTTGACATGCCTTCGAGGTACACCTTATTCTGATATGCCAATCAAAGGACACTTTGTTGACATGCCTTCGAAGTACACCTTATTCTGATATGTCAATCGAAGGACACTTTGTTGACATTCCTTCGAGGTACACCTTATTCTGATATGACAATCGAAGGCACTTTGTTGACCTTCCTTCGAAGTACACTTTGTTCAGATGCCAATCGAAAGACACTTGACCATCATTCAAAAAATTTCATTTTTTTAAGCAAGTGTTTGTAACCACCCAAGCTAGAGAAGATCTTGGAAAACATGAGAGGGAAAATTTTGGGGTACAACAGAGGGCTTATCACAACTCTAGCTCTTGCGTTAAACTTAAGTTCTAATTTAGATTCACTTCAACCTCTAAAAACACCATTTGAGGATTTAACCTATTTCCATCACATGTGCCTGTATAAGAATAAACATGATGGCAAATACTTACTTATGGTTAATAGTCGACAGGTTGACATCACTTTGCCTTCTGTTGAGTGCACAAATGTGAGAGATAGAGCTAATTGGATCTATGATATTACCACCCCCGCTCCTGCCACTAATGTTAGATCTGATCCCATGGAGAAAGATGCTCCTAGTCCTAGTACATACGCACACGTAACACATGCTTTTACTGGCTCTTTTGCAGGTACCTCATCCGGTCAGCAGTCCCAGGCGGAGTATGACTACACCGCTATGAGAACAAACCTTGATGACATCTTGATCGAGTTGCGACATCGGAACAATATTGATACAGAGTGTGATGTGATGCTTAGGTGTATACAGAGTCAGCAGGCAGAGATGTTGGTCATCATTGATGAGATTCGAGGCCACTAGCTCGACTACACCAACAGAAATGAACATAACATGGGTGACTTACTTGAGAAAATGGAGGGTTTGCGCCTGACTGTATCAGATGTGGCTGAGCTTATACGTCACGTTCCTAATCCTAGAGGAGGTGGCGGTGATCATGGACGGCACAAAGGTCGTGGCCATTATTACTGAGCTCTCTACCAGGTTCTATCTTCTCCCTCTTTCTCCTTGCACTGAAAAATTGGGGATAATGTTTGGTTCAAGTGTGGGGGAGGAGCTTTACCGCTTTATTTTCATTTTGTTCAGTCTTTTCTGTTTTCCATTATTTTCTTTTTATTTTTCGAATCATATGCACAGTTGAGTCTTATTATATGTTACTTTTTCTTTTCATTTGAAAATTCCCTTAGTTTCTACCCCAATTGAAAGCTTTTATCTTGCTCTGATTCAATGGCATAACATTCTGATTGCATAGGTTGTTTTTAGGCTTTGTTATTTAGACTTGGGAAAATTTTGCTAATATCGGCACCATCCTAACACCCTTGACTCCCTAAATATGCAATATCAATTTGAATATTTACTATGCCTAGACCAGCTCTCTAAGCTTTTAAAGTAACCTCTTGGGTAATTTATATTAGCAGTGAGCACCATCTAAGCACAAAATACGTAGGAAACTGATGAAAATAAGTGAATGATCCTAAAATGAATTAATTGCAAATGTATGTTGTTGGTCGGTCCATTGGTTTCTGGTATTTGACTTGGTAGGACGGACTACGGTCCGATCCATCGCGACTACAACTCGAATGAATAAAGAGTGTTATACCACATAATTACCAGAACGCCGATTAAAAGCAAATAAAAAGAAATTTCCCCTTGTAATTGGTCCATTGGTTTCTGGTATTGGACTTGGTAGGACAGACTACGGTCCGATCCCCCACAATTGCACTGGGTTATAAATTTTTCTACTAGAACCTCGTGCTAAGTTAATCATAATCACTAACAAATTTTTCTACATGTGCGTGCAAGGATAACGGGCTTAATGTGATTGCACTAGAATTAAAAAGAGATAAAAAAAGAACAAAAGATTGTAGGTCGAGTCATAGTGATGTCATTCAGATAAGTATTGCATAAGGAGGAGTCTTTGATCACAAATGTGGGTTTGTGTCACTACGGTGTCCTTGTTTTCAATTTCAAGTACCTATTCACTTAGTTATAGCTTAGCACTTCCCCTGTCGTCTTTGAGTTTTTCATGCCTATGTTTCAGACAGTGCGCTTATCTTCTTTTTCTTAAAATTGGGAGTTCGCTCGAGGACGAGCAAAAGTATTAGTGCGGGGGAGTTTGATAATGAGAAATCATATCATGTATTTAAGCTTATTATGTATATTTTTCGTCCGCATTTTATTTTGTTTATTTTCATTTTACCTTCTTTTTGTTGTTTTGCAGTTACTTTGATCATCGTTCGCGAATTCAGAGCTAAATCAGAGAAAGAGCGAGAAAAAAGCTAAAGTACAACAAATATGCAGATTCGTGTCTCCCAGCCTGATATTGCATTCACCATAGGGATATGGCGTTCGCCATAAGGAGATGGTGTTCTCCTTTATCTCCCCTGCCACGTAATTATCAAGTTGAAGCAATGGCGATCGCCATGACCCCAATGGCGATCATCGTTCAGTCGCAGAATAATTTTTCTATTTTTGAAGTAGTTAACTGCAGTTTAGAATTTTGAATCTTCCCTCCTATTTAAACCGTGCCCAATAGCAGTTGCAGTACCCTTTCCTCTATATAGGGCCTCTTAGTTGGTTTTCCATATCCAAGTCTTGTGCGGAAGCACTGTCAAAATAGTTCTAGGCATAACATTTCTTGTAAAAGTGACAATAACTCACATCGAGGGATTGTCACACCAGTTTATTATTTTTCTTGTACTAAATTCTTGGATCATCAATACAAGCCGGCCACCATTTTTATTTCTATTCAGTCTTTTCAATTACCAGGTTATCATTTCTTTATTGTTTTCTTATTTATCATTATTTTTTATTGCCATTAACATGTTACTAGTAGGTTTAATATGTTTCAATATGTTTGTGTTAAATGAAATGATGTATGGCTAATTCTGTTTGAGACCGACGTTTGAGGACCGTCGTAACCGACGAGACTCAGTAGAAATCTTAGGTGCGAACCTACAAATAATTGAGTATTTTGGTCCCAGTTTCCATGTAGTTAGTATATTATTTCGACACGAGAGTGAGGAATAAACCAAGGTTCAATCTGATAGCGCGGGAGTGTGAGGAATGAACCGGATAGTGAAAACTAGACATCGATCCTAAAAACAACAAGAGCACTTTAGGCATCGTTTAGAATTTTATAGGCTTTCAAAATATGTTTTCTAATTAACGGGCGAGCGAGAGCAATATCCTGCGGTTAGTGAGCGTGATTCTTGTCAATAGCGCGAGAGTGTGAGACGGAGTCTTTGAGTTGGTACATTTCTATGGAACTGACTTTTATTTTCTAATCAACATCTATTTCTACTAGTCCCTTGGGCACGCGGGATCCATACTCTAGACTCCTTTATTCATTGTTTTCAACCTTAAGCAATTTCGTTTTTGATTGTCATTTCTTAACATTTCAAATCCCTTTAGTCTTAGTTGTACATTGCATCATAGATAACATTAGTTTGATTATTAGTCTTTGTGGGTTCGATAATTTTTTAAAATTACGCGATAAACTATGCACTTACAGTTTCACATTTCAACAAATATATAAAGTCGCGATCACATATACAGAATCATATAAATTTAACTCTCAACTTCTCTTGAACCAAAAATACTGCATAACCAAAACCAAAATTAGGCTATAATTATTAACTCCCTAAGTTTTTTTTAGAGTTATGTTTTGATTATCAGATCAAAGAAATATCATATAACAATAAAGAGAAATAAGCAGTTCAATTTTCAACATTGAAAAATCAAGAGAACATAAAAAGTAATTATAAAAAAGCTGCAAACAAAATCAATCTACTTTGTTGAGAGTTGAAGGATATTTTGAATTAATAGACTAACATTGAAATGAGAAGATCCTCCTTTTTCTACACATCTCTTAGCCATTTCGGCAATGTCTTTAGCCCTTTTTCTTCTCTCTTCTTTTTCATAACTCGCATCGTCCATCAATTTCTCTATAGCCCTCTCAACATCTTCTTTCTTCACCAACACGCCAGTTTTCTCTTCCTCTCCCCAATTCACAGGACTCTCCACTCCAACCATCACACCAACTCTCAATATTTCCACAACAAACCTCTCATTGAAAAACTGATCACCAAATAATGGCCACGTAATCATTGGCACACCAGCACATATTGCTTCCAGCGTCGAATTCCAACCACAATGCGTTAAGAATCCTGCAATCGCGCGATGAGACAATATCAACACTTGAGGAGCCCAACCCTTTATCAAAAAACCTTTCTCCTTAATCCTTTCCTCAAAACTCGATTCCTTGATCCAATTATTCAACTCTTCTGTTTGATTTCTTTCCCTAATAACCCAAATGAATGGCCTTTCACATGCTTCTAAAGCCATACCAATCTCTATGAACTGCAAAGAAGTTAAATTACATATACTTCCTAAGCATACATAGATAACCGAATTCGACTCTTGCAAATCAATCCATTTAAAGCAATTTTCAACATCAATTGAAGAAGCCACTTTATTGTTTTTCCCTCTAAGAGCCATATCTAAGTGATTCTTGTTTCTAAGTGAAACAGGACCAACACACCAAACTTTACTGTTCCTAGTTTTCTTCAAATCACTTGCGTATTCAGGTTCTAACTCCTCAAAAGAATTCACAATAACACCATACGAAACCATTTCAGCTGCAGCCATTTTATCAACAAATTCCTTCCAATTTCCATCGTTCGATGACGAGGGAGGGTGTGCTTTTGTGATCTGAATTTTGTGAGGAATATCAGGTATAAGAAAATACTCAGAATCTGTTGCTATTTTCTCCATAACATTAGAGATAATCAATTTTTGTTGCCAAACAAGACAAAAGCAACTAACCCCATAAAATGAAATTCTTGGAATGTCAAATTTGTTAGCAATTTGAGAAGTGTAAGGAAAGCCAACATCAGAGATTATGCAATTTGGCTTTGGTGTTAGCTTTTCAAAAGCTTGTTCTGCTGGTTCTTGTAGAAGGGTATTCGCAACGGAGAAGAAAGTGTAGCCCATTGACATTGATGGAAGCATGTCAAAATTCTCACACCCTTCTGGAAAGCCTGCATCTTGAGATGGGAATTGAAGTTGAAGTAATCGAATATTGTGTGAAGTTAGTGAGAAACGAGAAGCGTTGTGTGGAGTAGTGACAATGGTGACTATGATGTTGTTTTGTTGTGCTAATGTTGTTGCTATGTCTATCATAGGAAGCATGTGACCTGGGGACATAAGTGGAAATAACACAAAGTGAAGTTGAGACTCTTGGGATTCCATTATTTTTTGGGAATGAGTAAATGAAGATTTCTATAATGTAATCAATACAATATACTCAACAGATTGAGATAGAGAGAAACCTATGCAAGATTATGTAAGTGCTTACCTATGCAAGATTATGATAGCATACCAACTTGTCAGTGTTTGTAAGAGAGTTGAAATTTCAAAGTCAAATTTAATATTTAATTCTTGTTTGTTTTATTGCAATATTCTTTAGTGTTTGTTTAATTATAAGTAATATCTTTTGGTTTTGAAGAGATATATAATCTATTGATTGGAGAATTGTTGTGATCATTCAAGAATGTTCTTCTTTCTTATATATGTTTAAAAATCAAATCATTTATATACACTATTATAAAATATAAAGTATATATTTGATAATATCATATTACTATGGTCCGTTTAAATAGTCATAGTAATAAGACATATTCATTTATTTTAATTTTGTTTCAACACAACTGTTGTGATCACTATGTCAAAACAGATATTAGACAGTTCATTTTAGATAGCGCTTGTATATCAAAGCGTTGTTATATGTCACGATAAAATTTTAAATTTTAAATTATATATATTAGACAGCACTGCCTAAACCTCACTTTCACATCGTTTGTTTGAAAGCGCTGCTTAAGGTCTATTAGAATTTTAAAAAAAATTATTGAAGCGCTGCCTAAACTCAAAGCGCTGCCTAAAGTTGAGAAGAAAGCACTGCCTAAAGTTAAGAAGAAGCGTTGCCTAACCCTTACTTTAGGCAACGCTTGTTTGAAAGCGCTTCCTAAGGTCCATTAGAATTGAAAAAAATAATTATTGAAGCATTGCATAAACTCAAAGCGCTGCCTAAAGTTGAAAAGAAAGCACTGGCTAAAGTTAAGAAGAAGCACTGCCTAAGCCTTACTTTAGGCAGCGCCTTATGAAAGCGCTGCCTAAGGTCATATAAAATTGAAAAAAATATTTAAAAGCGCTGCCTAAGGTCATATAAAATTGAAAAAAATATTTAAAAGCGCTGCTATAGGACCAACAGTAGGAAGCGTTGTCATAGGCCCAAAGCACTGCTAAAGGCTTACTTTAGAAAGCGCTTTCTTAAAAGCGCTACCTAAAGTCTTATTTCTAAATTAATAAAAAAACGAAAACCCTAAAACTCAGATTTTCGTTCACAAAACAGAATTCTCAAAACAGATATCCAACAACGCGCGATTTCGAACCAAACACAATCAGATTTCTAACGTTTCTCAACGCGATTTCGATTGTCAGTCTCCAACAATGATTCTCCAATGATTTCGAGTTTTCTCCAGCTGCTACAGCCGCGATTCTGCTATAGGAGGTCGTTTTTCAAGGCGCGATTCTGCGGTGTGGAGTTTGTTTGTGCAGGCGCAATTCTGTAAGTACATATTCCCTTGTCACACATCTACCGTACACAAACAACAATCACTGTTTCATTGTCAACTTTTATTTAATTTTATTGTCATGAATATAGATTGTTTGTGTCCATGATTATGCTGACTGCAAAAGAACTGGTAATAGAAATTGCACATTATAGCATTGGTACTTTTTTGTATCACATTATAGCAGCATAATTGTGGCATGTGCATATTGTAAACTTTATGAGCTTTGAATAACATTTCTTGTTATCGATTTGGCAGCATAGTTCAGAGTCCTTGATTTGTGAAGCTGGCAGAATCATGTTTACAATAAATCCAAACACAATGTATACAAAAAGTTCTTTTTATCAACTTCAAAGTTCTTTTTAATGCATCCATTTGAAAACAACTTCACTCTTTTGTATCAACACAAAGTTCTTTTTAATGCATCCATTTTCTTTGGTTGATTAAAAATATCAACTTTTTCATTATGTAAAAGTTTTATGAAATTGAAAAAATATTTTCTAAGAATATTAATGATGTTGGTTTTGTTTTTCTTTTGTTATTAGGCCAAAGATAAAATTGTGAGTTGTGATATTCAATAGCTTGGCTTTCTAAAAGATTAGCATCTCAGGTTAGGAGTTAACAAAGTGAGGTTCATGAATATATTACAAGTTACACTCAAAACCCATTTTGTTTTAAACATGTTTGAAATTGAATTAGTGAACATACTTTTTTATGTGTAGATGTTGCCCGATTTCATAGCCGCTTTCACAATCTTATGCTATGTGGTTCCAAAAGTTGTTAACTTCTCTACAGGTAATTAGTTTTTCTTTTGTTATAGCTACGTGATAAATTATAGTGTTTTTGTTTAGGCTACTTAGTAGTAAAACCATGGATAAAAATGGATATCTTCCAATCGATTTTCAAAAGAGTACGAGAATGGGGTATTAGAATTCGTTAAGTTTGTTGTTGAACATGCCGAAAACCCCAGTCGAATGAAATGTCCTTGCTTGGGTTGTTGTTATGGGGGTCGGGTTGACGTAGTTGGGTTGGAATCACATTTACTGAGGAATATAAATGATCGAAGTTATACATGTTGGATATTTCATGGTGAGAAAAGTAACGGGGATGTTAAACCGGGGGATAGTATGACATATGCTTCAGATGATAATGGCAGAGATACATATGATTGTAATTGTGTCGAAGAGATTTCAGAAGCACTTAAAGAAGATATTCAGGATTGTCCCAAAATGTTTGAGAGGTTGGTAAGCGATGTAGAGATACCGTTATATAAAGGTTGCACTAAACTCACAAGACTGTCTGTGGTATTAAAGTTGTACAACTTAAAGGCGGGAAACAAATGGTCAGATAAAAGTTTCACAGAGTTATTAGTCCTTATGAAAGATATGCTTCCAGAGGATAATGTTCTTCCCGGTCGAACATATGTGGCCAAAAAAATGTTGTGCTCTATTGGCATGAGCTATGATAAGATACATGCTTGTCCAAATGATTGCATTTTGTTTCAAAACGAATATGCATCGTTAAATGCTTGTCCTAAATGCATATTCTTGTTTCAATATGCACTTTGTTTATCTCGATATAAGAAAAAATTGTCTCCAGCAAAAGGCTTATGGTATTTTCCTATAATTCAGAGATTTAGACGCATGTTTCGTAGTGAAACCGATGCAAGACACTTGACTTGTCATGCAGATGAAAGAATTATTGATGGAAAGTTTCGACATCCAGCAGATTCACCATAGTGGTAAAAATTGATAATGATTATCCTGATTTTGGAGGAGGAGCAAGAAACCTTCGCTTGGCATTATCTACTGATGGAATGAACCCGCATGGTCTTCAAAGTATCTCAAATACCACATGGCCTGTGATTATGATGATTTATAACCTACCTCCATGGCTATGTATGAAGCACAAGTACATGATGTTATCTTGTTAATTTCTGGACCTAAACAACCAGGGAATGACATAGACATATACTTGACACCGTTAATCGAATATTTAAAGATTTTGTGGGAGAACCGTGTGGAGGTTTATGATGGATATAAGAAAGAAAGTTTCAATTTGAGGGCAATGTTGTTTGGAACCATTAATGATTTCCCGGAATACGGAAATCTATCAGGGTATAGCATTAAAGGTCAAAAAGTGTGTCCTATTTATGAAGAACACACAAATTGGAAGCGATTGGAATTTTGTCAAAAGAATGTATTTCTCGGCCATCGTAGATTCTTAAATTCTAACCATCACTACTGTGGGTGGAGAAAGGCATTCAATGGAAATCCAGAACATGATAGAGCTCCACCTACGTTGACAGGTGACCAAGTTTTTGAGAAGGTGAAAGATATGAGTACTCAGTTTGGCAAGCCTTTTGCACACACGCTTTTCAAAAGTGGGTGGAAGAAGAGTTCAATTTTTTTTGAATTTCCATATTGGAAGTCGTTATATGTAAGACATTTTCTTGATGTTATGCATATTGAAAAAAATGAATTTGAAAGTGTTATTGGTACGTTCTTCAATATACAAGGAAAGTCTAAGGATGGCCATAAAGTAAGAAAGGACTTGATACAAATGGGAATAAGAACTGAATTAGGACCCATGAAGAAAGGAACACGGACATATCTGCCGCCTGCTGCTTATACTTTATCTAGAAAGGAGAAAAAATATTGTGTAAGTTTCTAAGTGAAGTTAAAGTTCCAGAAGGTTACTCTTCAGATATTAGAAGACTTGTGTCTATGAAAGACCTAAAGTTAAAAAGTTTAAAGACACATGATTGCCATGTTATAATGGAGCATTTTCTACCAATAGGTATATGTTCTATTTTTCCATAAAAAGTAAGAAATGTCATAACTAAATTGTGTTTTTTCTTCAGGTCAATTTGTAGTAAGGTGATTGATCCAGATCTTACCAATATTGCAAAAAGAAATAGTTATTACTCTGTGTGAGCTTGAAATATATTTTCCTCCCTCATTTTTTGATATTATGTTACATCTTATTGTTCATCTTGTGAAAGAGACACAATTTTGTGTGGACTAGCTTATATGAGACGGATGTACCCTGTTGAGCGTTATATGAAAATATTAAAAGGGTACGTGAAAAATCAAAGTCGGCCAAAGGGTTGTATGGTTGAACGATACATTGTTGAAGAAACGGTTGAGTTTTGTACTGAACATTTGACCAATGTTCAATCCATTGGACTACCCAAATCTCATATTTTCGAAAAGAAGGAAGGAAAAAATTTAATCGAATATAAAATTGTGATAGTATCAAGGGTTGAACGAGATCAAGTGCATTTATATGTTCTATACAATGACAATGAGGTTAAGTCATATGTTGAAATGCACAAGGATGTACTATATGGTTTAAATCTGAATAAAAATGAAAATTGGATAGTACGAGAGTACAATCGAAGTTTTATACAATGGTTCAAAGATCATATTTATTTAAATTTTGATTTAGATCCTGCTTCAATAATAGAAAGGTTAAGATGTTTAGCATATGGTCCGAGTTTGCTCGTGTTTTCTTATAGTGCATACGCAATTAATGGATACACATTTTATACCAAAGAACAAGATGATAAAAGTACTATGCAAAATAGTGGTGTCACTATTTTAGCTTAAGCAATGCACA